GCATCTCTCTCTCTCTCTCTCTCTCTCTCTCTCTCTCTCTCTCTCTCTCTCTCACACACACACACACACACACACACACAAAATAAATAAAACATAAAATAAATGAGTAAATAAATAAAACATAAAAACCAATGAATTGTTTTGTTAATCATTGATTTTGTCAGGCTTGTGGCTATTTAGGAATTATCAAGTTTTATTTAAGGATCCATTGGTGACATATTTGAAATGAACAGTTTATAAGCAACTGCTTTAGTACCCTATGTCAATGGTTGGGGCAGCTATGTATCTGAACTTTATATATTTTGCACAAGCTTATAGGGTTCTTTGTGTGTAAGCTTAATATATGTTAAGAAACTAGTGAGGGCTATTTTATGAAATGTAAAAGTCTGCATTATACCTGGACTCCCAACATACAAAGTGCCAGTGAAGTTCTTTGGACATGTCTGCTATTCCTCAGCAGTGCCATTCAGAGAGAAAAACCTGCTGTTCAGATTGTCTTCTCTGTATCTACTCACCTGGATAGAACAAGAAGTGTGCTATCACATGTTTCTGCCTGTCACCAGCACTAACCATGTAAGTGTTCCAATTGTATCAGGAATCTGTAAGCAGAGGTAACTGAAAATACTCCAGTAGTGTGCACTCCAAGCAGTGCCTTTAAAACAACTGAAGGGTACTGGATGCCTAAGGAGGCATCTGCAGTTTTCTTTAAGTGTTTCCTCTTAGGGGCTTGAGAGATGGCTCAGTGGTTAAAAACACTGGCTGCCAGCCAGGCAGTCGTGGCACATGCCTTTAATCCCAGCAATTAGGAGGCAGAGGCAAGTGGGTCTCTGCAAGTTCTAGGCCAACCTAGTCTATAGTGTGAGTTCCAGGACAGCCAGGGTCACACAAAGAACCCTGTCTTTACAAGCCCCCCAAACAACAACAACAACAAAAATGGAGTCACTACCACCAGTCCTTCATGAACAGCTAAGACCAAGGGAGTGTGGAGAAGTGATCCTTGTACATGGGCGCCTGCACGGCCTTGAGAGTTCCTGCTTGGGGTCTGTTTCTGTTATTTGTTTGGACATAGGCCTTTTCACATCAAAATTCAGTACTATAAAGGGACACTGAGGCAATGTAACTGTCCTGGAAACAGGGAAGGCACTCCAAAGAGACACTGTACCTCCCTGATTGGATACAAGGAGATTGATTAATGTAGCCCAGAAATAATTGGAATCTCTCCAGGAATTCCATGCAGGCAAAGGGAAGAGACTGAAGCCTGGTGCTGGACTGAAGAAAAACGTGGCTCCCCAAACGATTCAGAGAGTTCTGGTCACATATCGGATCACTCTGCAGGAGACACTGGGACAGAGGGAGCCATGGCTCAGTGGTGGGCACGACCACACCTTCATCAGGACTGCTTAGTTTGCATACTTCCTGCTTCACATATAAAATTCTCATGTCAGGACCCTGAATAAGGAGTGGGGTGTCACTGGACCCTGTTATTTATTTGTTTCTATTCCCAATGTGGCTATTTGAACCAAATCTCCTTTCTCTGCACTTTTTTGTTTGTTTGCTTGTTTTGGTTTGGTTTTCAAACAGAGTCTCTCTTTCATGTAGTCTGGGAACTCACCATGTAGATAGGCCAGGCTGGGCTTTAAACTCAACAGACATCAACCAGCCACTCCCTATGAATGCTGGGGAAAGGCATTCACCACCATGCCTAGTATTTCTACGCTCTTCATGTTGTCTGCCAGGTCTAAAGAGAATGGTTGGCCAAATGGAGGTTTTTAAAGGTCCCAGGACCCAGGCTCTGACCCTAAGAATATCTCCCACACACACACCTGAGCATCTCTGCCTGTCTGCTGTCCTATGAATAGCCATCAGGTGGATGTCTGGGAGACAGGAGCAGAATTTTGAGGAGCTGAGGTGTCAGCATACAAGACAAGTTGTGGGTCTGACTGGTGGATTCCTGGGCCAAGAAGCTCCCAACACTGCCCCTGAGATGCACACCAGGCTCCCCTGGATACCTGGACAAAAGAGGAGCAATCAGACCAGGATAGGGGCTGAAGTCTCAGACTCACCCTTTTTTAAGTGAACATCATCTCCATGTGAACACAGATTGGGACGGGGCTGCCATGCAGAGCCACGCAGCATACACAAGAGGCTTAGTTCTCCTTGAACATGGGACAAGCCTCAGCATTCCGAGGTAAAGGTAAACCTATCTGGAAATCTGCCTCTGAAGAACCTCCATCAATTACCCCACCACCCTCTGAGCCCCAGGAAAGCAACTGTCAATCCTGATGTGTCCCACGCTTCTGCAGGAAGCACCTTTCACACAGACACGGGCACCTGCTCTGCAGAGAATCAAATAAATGGAAATCTACAACCTCTGATTTTATCTCACCAGCCTATCAAGGACAACCATGTTAGAAGTGAAGCTCTGCCCAATCTTGTTGTATTGAGTTCATCTCAGTAGCTACCCCCATTCCCATCCCTGTTTGAAATGTCACTGAGATTCCATCAAACAGATCAGGGAGGGACTATTTGTGTTTCCATGGAGAACCACTGTCCTCTGGTGGCCAGATGATGAATACTATCCATGGGGAAAGGCTCACAGGCACTCAACTTTATGTCAATTAATCTTTATCTCATTGGAGAGAAGCTCTGTGATGACAGTTAGGGTATTCACTGACCTGATCTCTGAGGTAAGCCAGTTCAGTTCAGGCACCTGCTCCACTATTTCTAGTAGTCCAAGCTGGGGTCATCCTTGGGGATTCCTGGCAACTTCCCTAGCACCAGGTTTCTCTCTATCCCCATGATGTCTCTCTCTATCATGTTATCTCTGTCATTGCTTTCCCACCCCATCCCTCTTCCAGCTCAACCATCCCATTCACTTATGTTCTCATCCCCAATCCCTACCCTCCATTGCCCACCCCTCATCCCCAGTTTACTCATGGAGATTGCCACAGCCAAACATGAAGCAGAGCTCCAGGAGTCCAGTAAGAAAGAGAGGAGGGATTCTATGAGCAAGTGCGTCAGGATCATAATAGGGAAACCTGTAGAGATGACCAAACCAAACTAGAGGGAACTCATGAAAGTTGGATCAATGGCTGTGGAGCCTACATGGGACTGGACTAGGCCCTCTGCATGGCGAGACAATTGTGTAGCTTGATTTGCTTGGGGGAACCACTGATGGTAGGATCAGAATCCATCCCTGGTGCATGAGGGGGCTTTTGGAGCCTACTACCTATGATGGGACACCTCATGCAGCCTTGAGGCAGGGGAAGGGCTTGGACTAGACTCTATTGGATGTGCCTCACCATGGGAGGCTTTGTCTTCTTGTGGGTGGGAATAGGAGGTGGGTTCGGAGGGAGAGGCTTGGGGGGCGCAGGAGGAGGGAAGGGGGATCTTTGATTGGTGTGTAAAATGAATGAAAAAAATTCTTAATAAAAAATAAATAAAAGCAAATAAAGAAAACAATTAAAAAATTCTTTATTTTTCTCTCTTTCTAGAGAGGCTGACTTCTAAGGCCATGCTCTGTGAGGCCTTCTGCTGGGTCACTACTGCCATTATGCTGTGGGGAAGCCAGACCCCAGCTGTCCCAGCTGGCAGCCAGCAGAGCATCCCTTGGTAGACCTGAGTCAGCAAGGCTTCAGACCCTGGAGAACCCAGCTGGTGGGCAGCCCATCTGCATCCTGGAATATAGCTCCACCCATCCCCCCGACCTGTCTCTGTAATTGCACAGCTGTTGCCAAAATAAGCGAGGCCATCACCTGAGGTTGCTAACATTCTTGGTACAACACTTTAATTAATAGGACAGACATGAATGACACTCACCACCAAATTGTACAGAATAACCCAGCTGGTCGCACTGGACGCTGATCGTGGTTTCTACAAGCAGCCACTCTGTGACCACAAAGAGAACAAAAATGGGCTGGAGAGATGACTCAGTGGTTAAGAGCACTGGCTGCTCTTGTAGGGGACCAGGTTCAATTCCCAGCACACACATGGCAGCTCACAACCATCCATAACCCCAGTTCCAGGGGATCCAACACCCTTTTCTGGCTTCCATGAGCACTGCACATACGCACTTCATAGAAACACATGCATTCATACTTGTAAAATAATAAGATAATATTTAAAAGAAAAATTTTAAACTAGTCATCCAAGAATGAAGATATGGAAACTTTTACCAAAGTCTTAAAGTTAGTGTGTACTTTCCCCCCAGGGTAAGGAATGTTGTGAGAGGTGTTGACACCCCAAACCAGAACCCAGACTGCAATCTCTGCGGATGCAGAAGAGGAACACTGTTGCCTGTGGAAGCCCAAAGGGAATAAACACTTAGCATGCATAGGAGAGGAGCCCAGCCTGGTTCTTTAAGTGAAAGGCACAATTAAACATGAACTCGTACAGTTTGCTACTGTCTGTTACCCTGACACTAACCTCAACCTAAATATCCCTAAGGCCATCTAAGCATGGCCCTTTCTATACTGACATGTTCCTAGGCACTTGTAAGTGGGTCCTCTGTGTGCCCTTGTGAGTGTGAGGACATGGGCACATGCCCCTATTTGTGCCTTCACCTGTGGTGACAGTGGTATGGAGTTTCCCAGGGATGGGGAATCTGTGATCATAAACACATGGTGACACACTTGGAAACTGACACTAGAATGATCTATAGGGAGCAGGTTGGGACAGTGGGAAACCCTAAGAGAAAATTACTTTTTCCTGGGATACATGTGGTACAGATGGAATGGCCTGGGAACCTCTACTGCCTTCTCAAAGCTGAGGGTCTGGTTGAAGCCAGGCTTCCCAGGTCAGTGTGAGGCATGGGCCTATGGACACCACTGTGTCCCACTGTGCACATGGAAAGGCAGAAGGAGAGAAGTTGGCGGCCCTGGTCAGCCCTAGAGAAAGCCTATGTGGAGGAGGTGCAGGCTGGAGACCCCCAGGAAGTGACCTCACGTTCTTAGCATTATTACCGATGGAACTCAGACTCCTGGTTACCAGGTAACCAGATGTCAGCAGCAGCCTCAACTGACCCACTTCACTGGAAGCAAGATGTTCTCCTGTTTGAGGAGTTCCAGTGTCTCAGGCCACCAAAAGATTAAGTGCCCTGGCCTTTTCCGACATGCGGTATGCTGTGTTCATCGACACCTCTGTCCATTTTCCCACAGGAAAACAAGGTAACCAAGGCCAGCTTGTGGCAGGAAAACTTTCTGGTCCCCCTGATCCTCTGCAGTTCCTGACTGGGTCTGTGTTCCTGTGAGAACACTGAGGAACATCTTTTATGCCCACTTTTCACTTCAGTGTGTGGTATTGGATTGTTATTGTCTCCGGGATTTCACATTTAAACCCCACTTCCTTCCTTGGTCTTTCCTCAGGATAACAGGAGTCTGGATAACTACACAATATTCTATCCCAAGAGCCCAACTACATAAAAGATCTCATTAACCATGTACCAACAGCCATTAAGGACAGAAACTTTCTTTTTATATATATCGTGTTGGCTATCTACCCTGAGTTTGTGACCACCTGGGAGATGCTGGACTTGCAGGCTCTCAAGCCTCCTGGTTTGGTTTGAGGAGGACTCTGCTCTTCTCTGGGACTGTGTGCTCTCACAGCACACATAGGATTGTACCCTGGCATCATTGGTCCTGGGCCTGGACCTTCAAAGTGACATGGCCAGAGGTGGGGGTTGGGGAGACAGCTCTAGATTGTGTCATTCACTTTCCCCAAGAAGTGTCAATCACTGTCCGTTCTTATGTCTTTAGCAGAGCCTTTTCCCCATTTGGAGAAAAGGTTCTTGGCACTATCTAGGTTTGATGGGATTAATGGAGCCAGGTACGGGTCCCTGAGGCCACTCAAGAAACTCTGCACCAACCAAGAAACCTAGCAAGGAGGAGCTTAGATTCCACCCATTGCATGCAGATCCTTGAAGAGCTGTGACCAGAGGCTCATTCCCAGGCCCTCAGCATGGAAGTCAGAAGAGTGCAAGTAGCCCTGGGCACCCTCACCCCCTTCCTGGCTTCTATTCCTCCACCAGATTCAAGCAGCTCCCTGTCGATTTCTTGGTGGTTTGGGGACACATGGTCTTAGTGGTGACACCATCATGAAGTGCCACAGGTATGGATCCATGCAGCATGGTTATGCGGAGATGTGAGCTGGGCTCAAGATGAAGAGGGAGGTAAGAGCCCATCTACACAGTGGGATGTCTGGGGTGGCTAGGGTTGAGGTGTGAGCTGTTACCAGTCCCCATGATCTTGGGATACCTGGCAGAGGAACCGTATGGCAATTACTGTTCAGAACCAGGGGGGAAAAAAAACCTCCATCTACCCTTCTCTGAGCAAACTCAAAGTTTGCTACCACCTGGAGGGGCTGGACCTGACGATGAACACGTGAGCAATTACACACAAGTTCAGACCCTCAGGCCTCCTGGTTTGTTTTGAGGATGGCTCTGCTTTTCTCCAAGACTGTATGCTCTCATAGGACAAGTATGATTGTACTCTGGCATCATAGAAAAAGTATGGTTGTACCATAGACTTCATGGGCAAGTGGAGAAAATCAGAGGTTTCCAATGGTCTCCTTGGTTCTGAGGAGCAGAGGGAAGAATGGAAATTAAAGTGCCCAGGGGAAATCCATCCCCACCACAGCACAGTCCAGTCTGCCTAGTCCGTCCTCCAAGGGACAGAAAGTGTCTCAAGCCCACTCCACACAGCTCTACAGTCCTGACCACCATGCCCAGCAGCACATGGGCTGGGCAGCCTTTTCCTCATCTAAGGGACACTGCTGTGCTGGTGAAGCGAGGCCAGGCTTCTGACTCTACTTCCCTCCAGCCTGCTCCACCCTGCAGTGCCTTATGATCCTTCCTGTCAATTTGAATGATGAAACACCCCCAGAACTTGTCAGTCTCCAGATCTTGCTGTTGTCAAGATGCTAGTGAAATACATATGGCTCAACGTGTGTTCCAAAGATGTCACTATCCAAGCCGAGGAGCTCTTATCAGTGCTGGAGGAGCAGGAGTTCAAAAAGGGTGAGGAGCACTGGGGTAGGTGTCTGGGAAGGGAGGAGGTGGTTTCAATGATGGGATGTACCAGGGAGTCCTCCAGATGCCTTGGCCTGGAACCAGAGATGAGCACCAGTTTGTCACGGACTGGCCCATCGGGGGTACCATGACTGTAGGGGAGCCAGGGCTTGGGTACTCAGGAAGGCAAGTATTCAGCGAATGACAGACAGACAACACACTCAGAAGTGGTTTGAATCTGCAGCAATTTTACTTCTGTAAATCAGTAGTTTATATACAGAAAAGAAAACTATCAAGTCATACAAGGAACAACAAGAGCTTGGCAATATTTCAATTATATCATCTTTAAAAAACAGCAAGCACACTATTATTAATCGGCACTAGACATATCCCTTCACCCACAAGAACTTTATGACCCAAAGAGCGGTCTGTGATTTCTAAACGTAACACAGTCCTTAGACTTGTGTAGGCTTCTTGGAGCTGTGTCCTTCATCTTTATCTCAGCAGCTTTCTAGTTTATTATGCACTTCTGCTTTTCTGGTTCTCATGACCCACTTAGCCAATTTGGATGCTTCAGACACTCTCTAAGTCTTTCTTCAGTTCTTCCACTGCATATCTCATCTAATATAAAACCTTTTTACCTGCTGGAATATGGACTCTTGTACTTTTATGCCTGTAAGGGCAAGGGGTTCTGCTGTAATCCTTAAGTTTCCCCTGCTGAACTTCCTTAACAGAGGGGCCCACCATCTGCCTCTTATGAGATAATGTTTTCTACCATAAATCACTTTAGTTGGGATTCTTAAAGGATTCCTAGTGGGTGAGTGTTCATTCCCTAGAAGTGCCTGAACCTTTATACTTTCTTTATCTAGCGGCTTGGGGTCTCTTAGAAATAGCTCATTCTGATATATTTGATTAAGATCCATGTCTAGCTTCCCCTTTCTTCCATAGTTCACAACCCAAGCATTCATTAATTTTGGCTGTGCTTCGTAGATTAATGAGAACATTATCAAAAAACAGTTATACAGAACCCATAGCCCAGGGAGCTCATTATCTACAAAGTATATCTTCTCTGAAAAGGAAGCATAATGCAAGCACTCTGCCAGGGACCTCCAGGGAGCTTAGTCCTGTGGGACATGTATCTCCCATCTGCAATTATTGACATAATTGTTCATGTCACACGGACGACACTGGAGTTGGTGTGGCACCAGTTGGTGGGATATCCTCTTAAAGGGAGAGGGGACTGAGGATTGTCTGACATGAACAGGCCTTGAGTGTCCACCAAGGCCATCTTGGAGAAACTCATCCCATTCTGAAAACTTCTTGGCTGCTTCCAATAATGGTTAATCTCTTTCTGTTCTTAGGTTGTGGGCTCTTCAGGGCAGCAGTTTCTGAATTCCCACCTCAGAATCAGTCAGGGACAACAGAAACTCTGGAAAGAGACTAGCTTCTGTGAGAGCAACATGGAGGTCCATCACCCCAAGAGGGTATGTTCATGGAAATGGTGGCTATGGAACCAAGTGTCCCAGAAGCCTGGCTAGTGCATCTGCTGTTTGTTTTGTGCTTAAATATGGCTCTGCCCAACTTCTCCTGTGATGGGGACCGCTACTGCTTGCTGAAGAAAGACAAAGCTTCTAACTCTACTTTCCTCCAAAATGTTCTTCCCAACACCATGTTTCTCTCTGGGATTGCTCAAGGGAAAAAATGTTCTGAGGATTTCTGTGAGTCTGCAGATCTGGTCAGCCTGAACCAGCTGCTGAACTATGTGAGTCTCCACACAGACTCCTCAGGTCTAACTGTCCAAGTCCAAGTTCTCCTATCAAGCTGGTATACCAAGAGTCGAAGAATTCAATGTCTTGGAAGATCAGGAGACCTTATATAGGTGATGGTAAGCTAGGAGGTTGTTTCCATGATGGGTTACACCAGGGAATTCTCCAGAATCCTTGATCTGGAAGAAAAGATGAAGGCCAAAGGGTATGATGTCATTTGTGGTAGGAGGTAATGGAGATTCCTCTGGTATGAGAAGGTCTTGTGTTTCCTTTTAGTCATCTTGGAGAAACTCACACCATCTTGGAAGATTCTAGACTACCTCTCAATATGGTTCATCTCATTCTGTCCCTAAGGTGTGAGCTTTTCAGGGCAGAAACTACAGAACTCCCACCTCAGGAACAGTCAGAGACAACAGAAAATCTGGATCAGAGACCAGCTTCTGTGAGAGCTGCAGGGAGATCCATCGCTCCACAAGGATATTGTGGTTATGGACATGGTGCCTACAGAACCAAGTGTGCACACTCCCAGCCAGTGCAGCACATTTGTTGTGTGATTAGACCAGGCTCTGCTAACTCCCCAACTGATAAGGACCACTGCTGTCTGCTGAAGGGAGACAGACCTTCTACCTTCTGCCAATCTGCTCCTTCCATCAGCTCCCTATGTTTCCCCTAGGACTAAATATGGAAAAATGACTGAAGGAGATCTGTGGGTTTCCAGAGAAGGTTAGGCTCAAACAACTGTGGGTCTATGTAAGTCTCCACATGGCTTCCTCAGACCTCGCTGTCCTCTTCCAGGATAGCCTATCACAGCTTGTAGAGTAAGATTCCAAGAAGTCAATGCCTGAAGAAGATGAGGTCTGAGGTAGGTTCCCAGAAAGTCAGGAGGTGGTTTCAGTGATGGACTCTACCAAGGTACACTCCAGAATCTCAAAATGGAACTGGAGCATGACATCAGAAGGTAAGATGTTCTGTTGTGAGGCAAAGGACTAGGGATTCTCTAGTATGAAAGTTCTTTTATGTGGATGAGTTTCTAAACAGTCTTATTAAATAGGAAACACAGAACCAAATACAGGGGTGAAAGCCAAAGAGATCAGAGAAATAGTGAACAGCCACGACTAGCCTTAGCTTACCACCACACCGTAGCTTCCCCAGAGAGAGAGCTTCTTCCTGTCTAACCTGTGCTTTTATTGGCTTCCTGTTTTGCCTTTTCATTGACTCTAATCCCAGCCACATCACTTTCTTGTCACTGTCTGTCTATACAGACCTCTAGGTCTCTATTGTTGGTACTGGGATTAAAGCATGTGTCACCATACTTGGCTGTATCCTTGACCACACAGAGATTCTGCCTGCCATGTGATCGAATTAAGGGCATGTGCTACCACCACCTGACTTCTGTTTATGGCTTTACTGTGACCTCTGATCTCCAGGCAAACTTTATTAACATATAAATAAAATATTACATTTCAGCACAAATAAAATATCACCACATTTCCCCTTTTTATTTTAATAAAAAGAAAGAAGAAAAAAGTTATAACTAATATAAGAAAAACTATATACAATAAGTACAATAACTATTTACAGTATATACAAGCAATAAATACCTCAACAATGGCTACTCCATCTGAATTTGACAAACTCAGAGAAAATATTCAGCAATTTCCAGAATTTAAAATCCTGAATTCAGGACTTCAGGTTATCTGGTACATGAAATACTCACACTGAATGTGAGGTTGAACTATAAGCCTTGTGTACATCCTACTTCACAAATGAGTCTGTCAGATATGCTAAGCCTGTAGGCCAAAGACGATGCCCCAGTGTTGGGGAGAAACCTCAGGTGACTGTCCAGCAGCTGGTTGTTTCTGTCAACTCCCATTTTTTTTGGAAGTCACTTGTTTGAACTTCCTGTTTTATTATGTAATATTATTTTCTTCTTAGGTCTCTGAGGTAGTTGAAGTTTAGATAGTTATAGTTAGTTGAAGATTAGTTATGGGTTTCCTTGTTAAGAATTTCAGAAAAGAAACTCACTGAGGTATAAAGTGTATAAATTTAAAAGACATTATAAGATAGTTTTCTGTTGGTAATATGAGTTAGTAGAAAGTGAATCAGGTACATTACTTACCAAATATAGAATAGATAGAATATCTTCTTTAATTTTGCCAAATACAAATAGACTAGATATTATAAATAGGCTAGATATTGTAACTGTAATTCTTGCTTGATAATTGTTTTGTTATATGTAATTATATTATGTTAAAGTTAAAACCTTCCTTAAAAAAAAAAAGAAAAGGGGAAGTGCTGTGGATATCACGCTGTATGCAATATCGACTTGCTGAAAATCCTGGCTACATACATAAAGAAATAAACCTAGAAAAACTATGAGACAGGTGATGTATATTTTACCTGCTCAAACATCAAACAGAAAGCATCCTTGGCTGATTTTTGTACAATGCAGTCTATACTTGTGCTAATGCAGATGTTACCTTTGGAAATTTGTATGTTCTGAGAGCAAGGGAACCATGTATCAATGAAAACAGGTGGTCCACCTGATCCAGCCTCTCAGAGTTCCTCTGTTGCACTTTCCTCATAGTAATGCATCCAAAATAGCTTCAAGGCTTCTGTCTGACAGGTTCTGGCCTTGCAGACTATTCTATCTAGGACTGTGACAGGGACCAGTCCATACCCAGTTAGCCATACCCAGGTCTCCACATTGTTAGCAGAAGTATCAGAACAGTATCAATCTTTGACCCATCAGGACCATGAGGTAGGAGCTTTCCTATGGAAGAGGGACATAGGGAAGACTGATCTTATTTTGTCTAGGCAAAAAGGGAAGCAATCAATTCCCTCGATGTCTTGCTGTTTGTCTTGATGTCTGGGCTGGATCCTGGTAGCAGCAGTCACATTTGGGAACTTGCCCAGAGGTCAGTGTTGCCACCTCTCAGATGGAGATATCTTATTTGAAGACCTGGGTCACTGTTAGGATCTGGAAGTCTCTGTCTGATATAATAAGCTTTTTGATTAAAATTTTAAATGCCATATTCTGTAGATCTCTGAGCATTTGAGGACTGTCTATTAGGTATGAATGGCTGACTACCAGCTATTATTCCCTAAGTCTCTCATATCTTAGCAGCTTCCATAAGGCAAGGACTTGCTGTCTCCTGAGAAGGCAAAGAACAGTGACAGGGGAAAGATCCCAAGGCTGAATGAGACCAGGAGAAAAGGGGTTTGTTGTGGTTGTGTTGTGTTGTCCTTCTGTGGTGTGTGTTGGTGTGGGATTATCTATTGCTTGATTTTTCATGGATGTGTTTAGCTTCTTTGGGTTGAATTTTCCCTTTTAGTGCTTTCTGTAGGGCTGGGTTTGTAGACAGGTATTGATTTAATCTGGTTTTATCCTGGAATATTTTGTTTACTC